CATGGTTTTTGTCTAAATTTTATTTTGCTCATTGGCGCCTTTTTTTCAACCAATGAGCAAAATAAAATTTAGACAAAAACCACGTTGATTATGTCGACGCCAAAAAAGAAGTGAAGATGTAATTATAAGGAACCCGCTGTCGGATTCACCGATAAATTTTGCATCTGATGCCCAATTTTTATCCAGTTTCGTTCAGCGCGGAGCAAGCATCAAATTTTCTAATGTAACAATACAAGATCTAGTGTACAAAAAAAAAGACTAGTTATCAAAGTGGAAAAAATTATAATTTCTTTAAATGAAAAGAGCAAGACGAATAGAAGGGTGAGTTTTAAAAAATAACATTGGATAAACACCCCTTAGGAACTTTCTCCTACTATAAGCCAAGTTAATTGTCGTCTTTTATTCCGATTTTTAAAATGCCATGGGGAAAAGTAGAAGAAAATTAGGTTTTTCCTTTTGCAATTAAAACATTATCATGTTTAATAACGCTATACCAATAAATAATGTAAATATTACTGTCTTTTGATAATCCAATATTTTTGCGTCATTACATAAATCAACATTATTGCAACAATTCATACTTGTAACAGTAAGGGAAAATTCATCGAAAACAGCAGAAACACTACAATATGTTGGATCTGCATAACCTCTGTATGTAGTGGTAACACCACCGTTGGTATAAGTTGCTTTCTAAGATAAAGAGAATGAATTAACTGTAATCAGCAAACATCTCAATCAAAAGGAAAAACGACATACTCGCAATAATTTTGGCACAACATGAAATTTTACAAGAAGACTCAATTTGATCTTCTTTAAACATGAATGTAGTCAAATAATAAAAATCGTTGTTATTCGAAGTATTCCTTTTCCACGAACTTCTAGAAAACTTGACTTTAAATGTCATTGTTTAACCCTTTAATCTTACTATCAGGAAGACAAGAACCAATAAATACATTATAAAAGTTTTACCACAAACTGAAAACTACTTAACTAATAATTAGTATTTAACGCCTGTGGGCGACATCATAACAAGCGGATATCAAATTCATGTTGTCTCATACATGTTTCAGTTTTTACTATTTGACTATACAAGTATTTGAAAAAACATTAAGTTGAGCCTGCTTGTAAAAGTTCATGAGTAAGGTTCCGTCACTTAACGATGAGGTTATGAAGGTGTTGCCTCGGGGCTGTCCTTTTTCGTCCTTGGTCTTCCGGACATCCGATCAAGTGACGGGATGCTTGGAATCGGGTCTGAATAGCATAAAATCGTTCTTCCAGCTGTTCGGGATGAAATTCGTCTGGGTGTTCGGAATGAAAAGTATGAATGTTCGTAACAGACAACATTAGAACCTTGTTTTTTTTTGGATGCACAGGACTCTTCTTGTGGTTGTTTCTTCCTCTGAAGAAATTGCGTTCTCTCTCTCTCTCAAAACTCTTGATTTTTTGACTGAATGCCTCTCGCACTATTTTGTTTATTTGTTTCGTTATTTGTTGTCTAATGATTTTTTCTTATAAAATGCTATACTACAAAAGTAAAGGAAATATTTTAACGATATTTTAACGAACATCCGTTCTTTTCTGTTCCGAACATCCCGAGTGTTTTGTTACCAACATCCAGACATTTTTGTATACAGAAACACTAAGAAGCCGTGGCTCATCCCGTTCCATACACCCGGACGACTTTCAGCCCCAACATCCGTATTATTTTTGGTTATCGTTCCGAACATCCGATCTTTTTCCATTCCAAAAGATTCAAATTTTTTAAATGATTTATTTAAAATTTTGCAGAGAGAAACAAATCAAACTTTATTTCATACTTACAAAACATGAAAATGAACTACTGGAACCAGCGGATGTTGATGTACCCACATCAGTGCCACTCGAGCAAGTGCCATAGGTACCAGAACTTATTGAATCGCCTATCGGTTGGCACACATAACAATTTAATGCACCGGATAACTGTGCACTAGCTATTGAAAATAATTAAAACAAAAGATCATTTTCAAATTAGACAGCTTTTTATCTTTAACAGTGGTCAATAACACTCTACTCTTATTGAAATTACTTACCTAATAAGACGATAAATGATATTACTATTATTTGACTTAACATGGCTTTTATGTATAGACTTTACTTTTTCAAAATACTGCAAAAGATTGTTCCAAACTTTATTTAAAAAGTGCACGACTGCCAAATGAAAATATCACGTTGTTTTTATTCTCTGTACT